CAAGGTTAAAATTTTATTTTTAAGGGTCCACTGTAAGGCCAAATAAGGCCTATCGTCGTCCCAAAAATATTGCTCAAGATGGTGTTTTTACTAAGGCCCAAAACTTAAAAAAACACAAAAAAATTAACTTTACTCTTTTGAGATCCTTATCAGATGTGCAACAATTTGATGCAGTATCGCAATTCGAATCCGACTTTTTAATGTAGATGTACTCTAACATTCTTGAAAAAATGCAAAATGATATTAATCAAGCTTTTCATTTCTGTATCATACACGAAACAAAATCATTCATTATACTAAAATTTATCAAAGTTTGAATAATGAAAAAAATAATATCTAAATTTTTACATTGAGTCGGCTATCGATATGGTCAATATTAAATCGTTTAAAAATGAGCATTGGCCAGAATAATACCCACTAAAATACACATTTTTTAAAATTTTATCAATTTGTTTTGGTATATCTTTATGATAATGAATAAAATGCTTATCTTTCATAAGTCAATACATAATTTATGCTGAAACACAAAAAATAACACGAAAATTTTTGGTCAACATTTCAAAAGGCAAACCCAAATTTTAGCTAAAAGTGCCAGGGAAAAAAAACGTTTAGTATTAAAAAAAAGACCGATGAGAGCTTCGTTCGAAATATAGAGGGAACTGAGAATGCGCAACCATTCTCAGGGAATATTGGATGCTATTCCCGTTCCCTCTGTATGGAAAATTGAGGTTTTCAAAGGGAGTTAAAATAATATCAAATTTATACTAATTTACTTCAAAATACAAAAGTATTTGGCAGCTAAAATTAGTTACTTTAGCAAGCCTATCAATACCCTTTTACGATTATTGCTACTTTTTCGAAATAAAAGTAAAAACAAATTTATACTAATTTACTTCAAAATACAAAAGTATTTGGCAGCTAAAATTAGTTACTTTAGCAAGCCTATCAATACCCTTTTACGATTATTGCTACTTTTTCGAAATAAAATAAATTTATTATCAAAAACCTTTTTTTTCTTAGTAAAAATAAAAATGTTATTTTATATCAAGTTTTTATTCATAAATTTTTATAATGTTGTATAAATTTGAAGGTGGAAATCTGTAATAATTTTATCTTGAAAAGACTTGGCATTCTCAACAATGAATTGAGGGGTATTGCATCCAAATTCTGTAATTTGCGTGAGAATACTAAGCTTGATTTCCATTGGGATACTTAATTTCGAAAAATACTGGGTCATTCGTTTTTGAACCTTTGCTGCCTTGACAACTTTATCAAGTAGGTCATCTAAACCCAATTGAAGCGTATTTAAGTTTGCTGATGAGTTAACTATTAACGATTTAATTTTATCAGTGAGCATTATACATTTTTCTGTATCCAGTCTGATTGTAGACTTTTTTGGCTTTTTTTCAGATGGCAACGGATTTGGAATTTTGTCTCTGAGCCTTATATCTTGAGAAATTCTGTAATAAAATGAAGGAACGATAAAATCGATTAATTTCATCACAAATCGATCAAATCTCATGAAAATTGTTCCGCCAAAGTAGTAATATTTAATTTTTTTGTTAATCGATTCTGAAATGTTATTTGTGAGAGCTAAATTTTCATCTCTTTCAGCGGCTGTCCATCTTTCTTGGTTTGATATCCATTGATTTTGTATGTATTTTGAAAATTCTGGGAATTTTTCGGCTATTTCCAGAATTTTTTTGAACGTTGGTTCAATCCATTCTTTCTTGCCATTTCTGCCGTATGCAAGATAGTTCATTTTTGTATCTAATATCAATTTGTCTGAACTCTCAAATGCATAATCTTTCAAATTTTTTCTGAACGCCCTCATTACATGAACTGCACACCAATGAAGGATAACTTCTGGAAAAGAGTTGATAATCGCATTTTCGATTTCTTGTGCACAATCTGACATAAAATATTTTGGTTTTACTTTTGCCCAGTTAAAAAATGCCTTGAGACAGAATGCAATATTTTCTGAAGTGTTTGGATAAACGACAAATTGAAAAATTGGGAATGCATGTGTATTTGGAAATTTGGCTGATATCATGTAAAACAACATTTTAAATTCAAGTAATGAATGGGTTGCATCAATAAAATGCTCTTTCACAATTTTGATTATGTCCAGAAATTTGAAAGAAGCATAATAAAAGATTAATTTCTTTGGTTTGTTGTAATTATCGACATCGAAATAAATTAAATCTTTTGGTGACTCTTGTTCTTTGATACCCTTAAATAATTGAGTTGACTTGAATTGATTATCATCGTACTTTTGAATACCTTTGATCTTTTTATTTCCTTTTTCCTGAATTGTTTTCATTTGATCTGAAGATGCATTCAAAAAAGATGGCCTGTTAAGTGGATCATCCAGATCAAGTTTTTTGTCGCATTCAATTTGAGCCATTTTCGGATCACCCCCTGTTTTATAAAATTAATAAGTACCCGACGATAGCATTGTGATAATGTGTGGTATTTCTTTGTCTCATCTTTGATTTGATTGTGATTATGTGTTCCATTATATTCTGTTAGGATATATTCTTCATCATCCTTTAGAAATGAGATACATGCTTCACATTTATCTGCACTGCACCTGAATTTTAATTTTGTTCCCCCTAAATTTGGATTTTTTTAATTGATATGGACAACCTGCATGGCATTCGTTATCAATGACAGCTTTCATAGCATCTATATAAGATAGCCTTTCTTTAAGTTCGCATGGTGCATCGATATGCATCAAAAAAAAATGAAATGAAATTTCAATATCAAAAAAAGCACAAAATTTGAAAAAATTCACAAATCTCGGTTTCTGAAAGAAAATGGCCTCTTAAACTTTGTGCATATATTCATCTATAAGACACATTGTATCCATATATTATTTAGCCAACACAACTTATCTGGTATCGAGAAAATTCAAAAAAAGCACAAAATTTGAAAATTGCTCGGTTCTACATTCAAAATAAATTTCATTAATTTTTACGTACATATTAAGGTACTTATCTTCTACATATATAATCTTCATTAGATATATACATGATAAATAAAATTCATAAAACATTAAAAATCAAAAAATTAGATGAACCTTGGCAATTAAACTTTATTAAATAATAGTTGTTTATAAATTATATTATATTATCATTTAATATTATTTTGATAATGAAGATTTTATTTTGCAATAATATAAACGAAATTTTTTACCTTATGAACTTTTGATGGAAATATGCAAATTTAAAATAATAAAGAAAGCCGCGAGCGAAGCGATCGGCTTAGGTCTAAGATTTTGATTCAAATCTTTGCTTATATTCCTTAAATTCTTTATCAAACTCGCAACAGTTCCATAAAAAATTTTAAATTCTAAACTGTCAAAATTACCGATCGGTAATCACACCCTTCACGGGTGTGTCACTTTTTACAGGCGTGTCACTTTTAGCTAAAATTCCCCCTACTCATTGTCAATTCTTTGAATTTTTTATAAAATGCACGATATTCCGGCATTAGCCTCAATAAATATAAACTACATGCATCACAATATTAGGATGAGATCAGGTGAGTGGGGCTTCCAGGCGCGTTGCGCCCTCTAGCCCCGAAGATGTTTAGTATAAATGAAGTTTTTATTCGGAAAATTGTTAGTCTTCTGGTGTGAATTCGGAGGACTCTTCTTGGATAGAGTCTTGTATTTCCTCCTCCTCTTCTTCCTCCTCCATTGCTTCTGGGAAGAAGCCTTCTTCTGGGTCGAAAACATTATATAATGTGTAATTGAATGACACATTATATCTTTCTTTGAGTTCGCTCCTGACAAAGAACTTAGTTCCAGGAATACAGAAGACTTCTGTGCGTTGGAAAAGCTGATGTCCTGGAACGAATTTGGCAATTAGAGACTTCTTTTTTCCGAATTGTTCAGGAGTTTTCATGACGACAGTAACAACATCTCCATCTGCGAGGTCTTGTTGTTGTTCGGAAAGGTAAAGAGCAATGATATGAATGGTTGCTGCGTTGAATTCGAGAAAGTCGAATTCAAATTGTGTTGTCGTATAACATTCAAACCATTTTGTACAGTTGTCTCCGAACTCGTCAACGTATTCATCTTCGTCATATCCGTAACTAAAGACTTGGAATTCGGCAATTCTCGTGTCGAATGACCGTTGGAGGTAACGAGGAAGATTTTGACGAACTTGGTATAAAGTTCTCAACATTATAAGCTTAGTAAATGTTGGAAAATACTGAACTAAGACATCGCTAAGCTCAATTGGACTTGGAATTGTCTTAGTAAGTTCAATTGAACTAGTAATTGCTTTGTTCAGAACTTCACAGAACTGAGTATTGTATGTAGCGTCTGGTTGTGTGTTTTCTTCGGCGTCTTTGAGATATTTAGAGCAAATTTGTTGAAGAATTTCTCTTAATTCGTTGTTAGACTTTTTGGTGGTTATTCTAACCGCTGTGCCGGTTCTTGGAGGTTGTGGGGCTTTGGCTTTGGTTAGCGGTTGAGAATTGTTAATGTTTGAATTGTGGTTAACAGCGTTGGCTTCCATTAGATAAAAATGAACTGACCAGAAGTTTGTGGAAAATGAATATTGAATAAAAACGGTTTTTTCCAACGGAGACCCCCTCTATTTTTTTATTTTATTTAATAGTTACCGTTGGAAAAACGGTTTATCTCAAATATTGAATGAACTATAAACGTTTTTTGTTTTCTATATATACTTTTTTGTCCAACGGTAAAACTTTTTAGACAACGGTTTTTGAGAGTCGTCGCCGTTGACTTTTTTGTAGAGCACTCAAAATAGTATAACTTTGTCCGGACAAGTAAGGGTCTATCGTCGCTACAGGAAAAGTTACAGGCGTTCCAAGGAAGTATACTTTGAGAAGCCTTTTTCCCCTTATAGAATGAGATAGGACGGTTATTTTACAAAACTGACAACACTTTGACGAGTAGTTTTTTGAGCTGAACAAAAAGTGTCATATAAACATCTGTCAAAAACCGCTTTTTAACTTCACTTAAAATGCCACGTAAGCTACGTAAGAATATACGTAAGAGGAAGGGAGCATTGAAACATCCAATAGTAAAACTGACACCACAACAACAGTTGCAACAACAAATGATGAATGACCCCACTATGTTGCAACAAATGTCAAGCAACCCTATGCTTTTAAACCGAGTTATTGGTGCACAGAGTGGAGGTTTAAGAGCGGCACTTTTAGCGAAAATGGCAGGCTATGGTGGAGCTGCAGACGGAACAGCTTATAACCCTCAAAGTCAAATGAATTTGAGTTCACTCAAAAATCAAATAACAGATGTCAAAAAGTCAAACATAGACATACAGAAACAAAATAAGTGAAAACGAAAAGAAACTAGAATATGACAGACAGACAAAGAAACTAAATGAGTTAAACGTAGAGAAAAAGAAGAAAGAAGAACAACTGAAAGAACTAAGTACAGAGGAATATGCGAAAAAAGTGTCAGAAAAAGCAGCAGAAGTAGCAAAAATGGAACAAGATGTTATAAATTTGAAAAACCATACTACTCAATATAAAGTACTGAAAGATGAAGAGATAAAACAAAAAGCCATGAAGACATATATGGATAGCGATGAGTATAAAAAAGAAGTTGAAGCAAATGTAAAGGCAGAAAAACTTTTACAGTTGCAAAACCAAACCGTACAGTATGAAAACTTAGCACAAGAAAGTAAAAATAACGACGCAGCCATGCAAAAGGCAATGCAAAGCGCAGAATATATAAAAGCTAAAAATGACTATATAAAGAGTCAAGCTGACATTAAAGCAGCCCAACTTATAGGGTCAATAAGGACAAAAATACAAGCGGATGAAGACAGTTCAAATGAAGCTTTAATGAATGCTGACTTAAGAATGCTTCGAAGCTCTTCATAGTAAGTATAGTGAACGACTTCTCATCTGGAAAGAAACTGAAGTCTGAAGGTTTCGACAAAGAGTTAGAGAAGTAGCAAAAATATGACGAAAATAACAGATGCAGCAACGAGACAGGCAGTTCAAAGTGCCTATGACGCCGTTAGAGCAGCTGTGGAAAGTCAAAAAAAAAAAGTTACAACAGACCAAAACAGACCTAGTAAATGCTTTCTTAAAAATGAAAAGTCAGGTAGGACATTATGCTGCAGATGGAACATATGTGCCAGCTGGTGGAACTTATATACCACCAAACCCTCCAAGAGAAGCACCTGCACCAGGACTACCTAAAACATTTACATCGTCACAAGGACACAGACACAGGCATGCACCAGCACCACAACAACAACCAACACAACAACCAACAGTTCAAAATCCAACACAACAACCAACAGTTCAAAATCCAACACAACAACCAACAGTTCAAAATCCAACACAGCAACCAACAGTTCAAAACCCTGCACAGCAACCACAAACAGAGCAAAGACATAAAAGAAGTAGAGAAAAAGGAAACCAAGAATTCTTAAAAATGCTTAAGGAAGATTATGGTTACCCAGATACTCTTGACTTTAGTGACAGATATAAAGAAGCTATTAGAAAGTTCAAGGAAGGAAATACTGACCCGAACCTATTTAGCTTTATGGTTCAGCATAAAATCGGATATAATCTCAAACCTGGAAAATACAAGCTCGCTAAGGGATATGATTTAATAGCATATCATCCAAATGACATGAATGAATTTACTCCGAGATATTTGATGTCAGAGCTAAATGATAATTCAACTCTCTTCATGAAACGCGTAAAAATAGAGACGGAACAAAAGAAGAAAGGTTTATGAGTCCGGATGACTTAGATAGGGAACTTGTTAAAAACGGTCTCGGAATATATGAAATGCCAGCAGATGAGGTACAAGAAACTCAACAGGAAGAAGTTCAGATACAACCAGACATGGAAGAAATAGTTCAGCAACAACAGCTAGAAGAGCCTGAAGGAAACGAACAAGTCCCTCCTTTGGAAACTAACTTCACAGAACTAGATGAAGATTTGGAACAGCCGAAAAATCTTGACCCTCAACAAGAGTATGAGGAGAATATGGAATCTTTCCAAGAGTCTAAGAAAAATTCGGCTGACATAGTAGAAGGATATCGAAAAATGTTCACCGACATACAAAGGACTCCATCATCAGATGAAAATATTCAGCATAGAATGGAAGTACTGAAAGAAAATGTACGCAAATACAATAATCCTTTTTACTTACGACCATATAACGTTCAATCTTTGGCTGAACTCGGTGAAAAGGTTAAATTTCAACAAAACATATAGAAATGAAACATTGTTTAAAGTTCATTCAGAACCTAACCAATATGGAAACAAACCCAGACTATGGAACTACAATGAGATGGGGCCATAAAGCTAATCCGGATAGGTGGTTCATAAACTTACAACCACAATTCCAAGAAGTTGTAGACGCAATGGAAGTGAATGGTGAATCAGATATAGCCGGTATTTTCAGCGCGGCTTTAATGCCGTTGAAAGATATGAAACATGCAGATATTTTGGACCAGTATGAAATGAACATGGCTGAGGGAAATATAACACCTGACGTTCTAGAACATTTATCTCAAAGAACTATAGAGATGGTATATTTGGTGAAGAGTTTTAGAAAGAGAGTTAGGGAGAGAAGGAAGAGAACCCATTGTACATGACCTTGCAAACGAAAGTTTGCAAAATGTCATAAAAACTTACTTTGCAGACAATGAAATGAGAAGGGATGAATATTTAAGAAAACTCAAATGGACAGTACCAAATGAAATGTTAGTATTGAAAAACATGTTTCATGACAAAATAAAACCAACTACAGAAATAAATGACGCAAGACTGAAACGTTGGGTAAAAGCTTTCTCATTCACAAAAGATATTATTGGTTACATGGAAAGAAAACCAGAATGGCTACAAAAACATATATTTGGAAACGAGCTTATTCCATATGGACAAGCTCTGTTTGAGAGCTTGAACCGGAAACTCAGGAAAGAGTCATGCAAACAATAAGCGAAGACTCAAATACAAACTATGACAAAATCTTTCTAGGATATAGGTTACCTGAGATGGGCGACCAGAGCCCAAAGGCAAAAAGGACATGGGAAATTTACAACATACTAGGTGAACATGAGGCAAAGATGCTACAACTTGAAGCAGAGGCAAGTTACCAAAAGCGACACCAAAGAAGAAGAGAAGAGTAGAACAAAGTGAAAGTAGTGAAGAAGTAACTTCATCTAGTGAAAGTAGTGGCAATGAAGGAAAAAGAAGAGTTAAAGATTCAGTTAAAAACTCAGTCAGGAAGAAAGTAAAGCTTGGTCCGAGTGGGTTCTATTATGACATATAAATCCAACTATTCTATATTTTTACCCATATGAAATGTACGCCGCTCAGAATATAACGCCAACAGTTTTGGATGCCATGAACGGAAATGTTTCCGAATGTATAACGAATGCGACAATGCCATTAGAAGGTCAGAAATAGTTCCTGGAACTTACGAATATACAACTGCTGTTTCTTATGGAAACGTAGGTGAGTTTGGAGAAGGTTCTTCAACAACAGTAGTGATATTGCTTCGACAGGTTTCACATTATTTCTATTGACAACTCTCTATACGTAAGACATTGAAATAAAACCTTCTGCCAAGTTGTCTGACAAGAAAGGTTGCAATGGAATTTTCTATGTCGGATACCAATATGCTCCAGAAGTTTTCATGGGATATAAGATATATTCTAACTCTGACTTAGTTCAAACAGTAACATGGGCAAACTATGAATGGTTCGCTTTGAGAAACTCAGTACAACCACAAGCTAGAGAACAAACAGACCAGTATGCAACTATTGAGAAAATACGAAGACTTGACCCTAACGTTCCAGGAGTTTATGTTAACCTTTCTGGACAAACTGCAGCAGCAGTAACCAAAGTAAAACTGAAACTTAGAGTTCCTTTGTCATCTTTCCTCATCTTCAGGTTTTTAAGATACTTGCCAAACTGGGCAGGAAAAATTTCTATCGAACTTACTCCAAGCAAAAATAACTTAGTCATTGCACCAACACAAGACCCATTCACTATTGAAGCCAAAGCAACAGCTCAGGAAACATTCGCTGCCTTTTGCAAAAACAAAGTTGACTTAGACTTTGTTTTCTCAAACTTCAACAATGAAGTAAACTACTATATGAAGGATAATGGTGGTGCAAACGTATGGGACCCAGTTAAGTTCACATGCGAAAAATTTGAATGCAAGAGAATAGAAAGCAGACTTGCCGTTTATATGTTGGACCCAGATATTTCAAATGCTTTAGCTGCCAAATATATTGCAGTTCCACTTATGTTCCATATCCATCAAATATCTGTCAAAGATTTTGCAGGTGAAGTTGGAAACCAAAATCCAGGAACTCCTGGTAGCAGAACAGATATTGCTTTAACAACTGCTATGAAACATGCAGACACAATGTTTGTTCTTTTCAGACGAACTATAAATGACTATTCTTGTTTCTACAACCCTGGTATTAAATATCATATAAACATAGATGGCAAATATTATCCAAGAGAAGAATATTCTACAGTTGAGGATATGAGGTCATACAACTTGACATTAGATGCTATGAACTTTAACAACAACTTCACAACAACCATTAACCCTGAAATGCAAAGTTCTATTATGCCATATGTGAAAGTATGGACTCATACAGGAGGTCAAAAAACTCAATATACAAATGGAGACCGTTCAAACTTTTGGCTTGGCATTCCATTTGCTGACTCAGAAGACTTTATGGGTGGTATTTCAACTGTTGGTACAGTTCAAATACAATATACTGGTGACAGAGACGGTCCAGATGAATTGAAAGCAAAGAAGTTTACAAAACCAATAGCACTTTTCACGGAAGATGCTCTTTTGAAGATTCGTTCGATGAAACCTGCTTGGGCTCCTCAGATTGGCATAACGACAGCTTCCATCGAGCAGATTTTGGCAGCAGGTCAGTAAGTTGTTCTTGAACTGACTTCTCTCCGTCAAATATTGACAGTACGCCAGTTTTGACATAATATTGTATTATAAACTTTCCTTTAGTAATATCGGTCAGTTTTGAAGTTATATTTTTGTCTGCTTCAAGAACTTTCACCATTTCAGTTATACCAACTTTCTTTGCTTTATGAAAATATTTAGGTTCAGCAAAGACTGCTATTCTATAACATTTTCCATTGTTTGTGTAAAGAACTATTCTGTCAATGTATTTGTATTGTTTGTGAGTATAAACTTTGTTCTGCTTCAATTCAATAAGATATCCGAATACGTCCATCTTTTTATTCTAAGTAAAATGTCATTTCCGAAAAATAGAAGCGTAAGTGTTTCAAAAGGTTTAATGGCGATGGCAGATGTGAAGTTAAATTCACCAACTCAAACAAACAGTCAAAGTGTTATTGTCAATGTCAAAGACAGAGATGTTGAAGTGGGGAAACCATACGAAGACGAAGATGGTATAACAATTGTTCCTGTAAAAGAACCAACATATCCTGAAGTTAACAGAGACTTAAGTTCTGTTGCAGATATTCGAAACAACTACCAACAACTGAAAGACAAACTTCAAACTCAGGAGAAGATTTGTCAAGCTTTAAGTATAATGTTAAACTTGGTTGAACACAACCCTGTAAAAGTGAACTCATATGTCATTGCACCTCATGAAGTTTTGAAAGAACTATTGAAACTTTTGACAAAGGCAGACGATATAAACATCAAAGAAATAGAACCTGACATTGGTTGCTGTGGTGTTTCATATAATGTCATTGACAAGATATACGTTATGAAAGGAGGTGAAACGTTGAACTTAAAATATAGTTTCCCAGACGTTATAAAAATATTTGACGACCACAACATTTCATTAAAATTTATTTGCTAAGTAAATGGCAGAAGACATAATGGTTTATACTATTACGACTAAAAACCCTGAGTCATATAATTCTATAACAACAAACTATACAAAGTCCTCAAGGACGATATTGTAAACTAACCTTAAACACAATGACGACTAAAGCCTGTTTTGCTCTTTTGACACCAGAAGACTTTATTGTTGTGAATGGTAAAAAATACTCCTTTGAAGATACTTACTCAGATATACCACCAACAGGTTTTGTTGACTTATTTAATACTTTAAGTACGGGTGTAACATGTGCTGCAACTAGAGCAGGTTTCATTATGTTTGGATGTCCGACTGAGTTTACTATTAATGATATGAGCTATAATACAAAACTTATATCTGGTTTTTACTACCAACAGTTTCCTATAACAGGAAAAGGTGTCATACAAGGAATGTCTATTCCATTGACATTAAGCACACCAATCTTATATATTGTTTCAAACTTAGGTTCAAAGTGTTATCGAATGTCGACAGAAACTATTATGACCAAAAGATACTTATGCGTATAAACAATACTTTCTCTGCTGGTTTGCCTATTGTTCATTCGAATGCAGAATTTTCACCCTTAGTGAATTCAAACACTTTGGCAAGTATAACGTTGACATTAGTTGACGCAAACTTTGTTCCTGTAAAACTTTTATGTCCTATGTATTTGTCAATGACGGCAGAAAGTTTCGAATTGGAAGATGCAACTGGTGAAAGTATTGTATTACAAGAACAACTTCAACAACAAATAGCTCAAGAACAACAAATGCAACAAATGGAACAACAAAGTCAAGAATAAAAAAATAATATTTTTTTTTATTTTTATAAAAATGTACAGAATAGATGTTTCAGATTTTTATGACTTCCAAGCATTCAGAAATATGTGTCCATTTCGAGACTATAACAAAGCAGTCGAGAATTTGAAACGTTTAGTCATTTATGTCGACTCTACCCCAGAATGTTATGTTATGAAAGAATGGGATGTAGTCTTTAACAAACCTAAAGCGACAATAGTTACAGAACAAGAATGTAGACAGAAACTTAAGAAAATAAAAGTCGTACAAGTTGGCATGAAGATGTTAGATGCTTGGGATATCTTATTGTCAAAACTTGAAGATTTTTCAGTTCGTGGTATAAGTTAGTATCCCTAAGTCGTGTACTGTGGCACTGCGCGCCTCCGTACACCACTTAGCGGTTTTGACACTTTACGAAACCGGTAACGTATATTTTACAACACAACCATAACACCAACTTAACCTTAAATATTTACAAAACCATCTGACATATAAACGACTTCACTAATGACTTCACTAATGACTTCACTAATGAATTCACTACCGTCCTCACTAAATAAAAATAACCTTATTTTTATTTTTTTAAATTTTTTAATTTCATTACAAAGACATGTCCGACTACATTTACTATGACTCTTTCCCAGAACGTTTCCGTGAACTATTCAAAACTCAAGTAAAACTGAGAAACATGCATTTTAACAAAGATAGACCCATTGACGATGAAAGAAACCCCGAATATATTACAATCCCATATGACGCAAAGTTCATTGCATACATTCCTTATGGTCGCAGAGGAACGAAAACTATTTCAACAAAGAACAAAAATTATTTCTGGAGCGATGAAGAAAATTGCCTTATCTACATAAATGCATACTTAAATAAAGCTACATATTGTACAAAAGAAGGTTGGACTGGATTTGAGCTCTACATATACGACGACGATGGAAACAGACGCTGTGTATACCCATACGATAATATGTACCATTGTTTTCATCAAGCATTAAACGAATACATAGTCAGTAAGGGTCTCATTCCTGTTGAGTAGATATGCTTTATTTTTGTTCTGTCATTTATATAAAAATAAACGTTCTCGCTAAATAATAAAATAAACTTAAAAATAAACGTTGTCAGAGGTGAAAAAATAAATTTAGGTGAAGTGGTGAGATTTCACCTCTTTTTTCACCCGGTTTTTCACCCACTTGAATTCATTGCTTTATAACTCTCTTCCTTTCTCCAACTCTTCTAACTTCTTCTTAAGTTCAGCAATGTTGTCCTCATGTAATTTAATCTTTCTCAAAATTCCTTCTTTATCTAATGGTTGCTTTATCTTTCTAAACTGAACTCTACCATCTTTCATAGTATGAATGTAAAAACCTTCTGGAATAGTTCCTGATTTAATGTATTCTACCAAAAACTTTTGTTTCATTGCTTCAGTGACTTTATTTGTCATTTCAATCAAATAAAAATTTTAATATTAAATAAAAATAACATTATTTTTTCAGTAAGGAAACGCAGGAGTTTTACGATTTATTTGAGAAGTAGGTTCTGGTTTAAATGTTGGAGTCGGTTTAGGAGTTGACTTTTGAACAGGAGTTTGTACTTTCATAGGTTCAGGAGTCATTGAAGGTGTTGTTTGTGAAGGCGTTGGTTTTGACGTTGGTTTTGGCGAAGGTGTTGGAGTTTGTTTAACTTCAGCTACTTCAGTATTATTTACAACATTTGCTTTATTTCTTTTCAACATCATAACTGCTCCTGCTGTAGCTAGCAAACCTAGTGGGAGACCATATTTTATATAAGGACTTGACCAAATGCTATTTTTGACAGGAGCTGGTGGAACACCTAACCTTGGTGAGACTGCTCTTTACCATTGTGCAGCTCGTAAGAAATATTCAATAGGTGCTCCATAATCGTTTGGTAAAGTTTGTTTCATAGATGGTGAAGGTTCACGAGAGCTTGATGAAGAACTCATTTATAAGCTTTAAAAATAAACGTTCATCCTTTATTCCTCACTGTCGTCAGCTGCTAAGTTATAGTCGTCAAGTCTTATTATTGGTATGCCTGACTGTCTTACTTGTATTGCAAAGCAACAATCCCTCATAAATCCAATAAGTGGCTTTGGTACATTTTCAGTTGCTAGTTCAATAGGTCCTTTAACAGACAATTTGTATGTTATTGGAGCAGTAGATGTTTGACCTTGCTGGAAGCAAAAGTCCACTTCTGTTGGAAAACCACATACGAAATGTGTGTTGTCATAGCTATCCCATTTATGTTCCACACTACCATCATCCACCAATGACCTCATAACATCTTCATTAAATCCTATCATATCATTGTTTGTATTGCAAGCGTTCGCAACCATTTCATAAAATACAGGTCCATATGTTTTTTCAGGTTCTGCAGGCATATTTCCATAAGCTCCCATGGAAAGCTGAAGATATTTAAACTTAGGGTTCTCAAAATTAACATAATAGTTGTCTTTCTTTCTAAATAGTGCCCAAATACTTTTAACATTAATAGGCGTATAAGCTGCTGTAAATGTTGCACTTGAACTATCTGTATTCTTTGAGAATGAACCGTCCATAGGAATCCAATCCATAACTTTAACAGGAAAACATAAAGCCTCGTTTGTATAATGTTCTACAAGTTCTGTATAAATGTTAGGGTCTAAAGAGAATGACTTTGGATGAATGAAACATTCATTAAAATTCATCTTTGTTCGAAATAGTTGTTGGGTTACAGTTGTAATTGTAACTGTTCCACTAGCTTCTATTGCCTTCGTTATCATAGTGAATGGTTCATTCCATGGAACAAATTTATTTGTCGGTGGATTTGAATCTGAAGCAAATGCAACTTTAAGAGTTGGATTGAAAGCAACGATATCATTTATAGATATAGATGTGCATTGTAATGCGTCGCTACTGAACTTTACTTTAAGCTGAATGTTTCCTGCAAATGCAGGAATAAATCTTATAGCTTCTAATGGTAAAAACTTTCTAACAGGAATTCTTAAACGAAGCTTAAAATCAAATGATTTTCCTGCTGTAATTGGACCACTAACAATTTGTCCTGTTCTGCATGTTCCCGAATGACTCCATACATCTTCATGTCGAGTCTTTGAAAAAACATCTACTTTCTTTATTTGTTCGGTAGTTTGTGAGTTTGAAGTTATATATGCTTCTTCTCTTGCGTTGTCTTGAGAATATACGATACGACCATTTGCAAGGATTTGATATCCAGCAACTGCATAGAAAGCGTCATCGAAACCAATCCAAAATCCTGGTGGGTTTGTTTTATTGGAACCTGAACCAATTTCTTTATCTACAATAAATTGACCTTCCATTTTATACGTAATGAATGTATTGTAAAGGTCCAACATATTTTCACCAGGAGGTGAGAGATTGAATGTTACCCATGTGTTATCTTTAGCAGTTCCAGGTTGTGATGGAATCTTTGCGTCAGAATATTTTCTATTAGTGTCACCAATTTGAACTGCATTGTCTATGATATCGAAATATGAGCGAATCTGATGAATATGCTCTGCTGGAGTAAATTCGTTTAACTGTTCGTTCTGCATGTCTTTCCTTCGGATAAAAATATCTATTTACTTCATTATTCTCACTCTTCTTCTTGGCATTCGTGGTGGAAGTTGTTTCTTGACATTTTCAATGAACTGTACATTCTCTTTTGTCTCAACTTCTTTCACTGGTGGGTCAGGGTTCTTTGACTCGGTTTGCTTTTCAATGAAATTCACGAACTTTGCAATAAGCTCTTGGTTCGTTATTGAAAGAACATCTGGCTTCTTTTCTTCTGGTTCTATTGACTTTTCAGTTTGAACAGAAGGTTTTATATGGGCTTCGTGGGCTTCGCCCTCGGTGCCATACACCTTAATGTTGTCGCTTTCTGCATTCGCTAATGGAACCTTTCTTTTTCTTACGTATATTTTACCATCTTTACTCTGACTTACGTAATAGAAAGGATGTTGTATTCCTCTTGCGTCATTTAATATAATAGACTCTCGCTCTGATTTTGACAAGCTCATTTTACATCGGTTAAAGTTTTAATTTTGTTTTTTATCTGCAGTCAAATGACTCAGACAAGCCCTACGGACAAGACCCAAGGGGTCATAGATGTTGAAGCATTGAAGAAAAAAATTCGCGAGCAAATTTTATCCGAACTGAAGGAACAAAAACAAGAACAAAAGCCAGAGAGACCAAAGAGAAAACTTAGTGAAAAACAACTTGCTGCATTAGCTGCTGGAAGACAAAAGAACCCACGTTTGCTGGCGAAGAAAGCTAGAGAAGAAGCTGAAGCAAAAGCTAAAGAAGCTGAAGCAAAGAAAGAGTAAATGGTTTATTTTTATCCGAATTAAATGTATAGACAAATACCTTTATCTGTTGCATTCAGTAGTGAAAACCCTGACGTCAAAATAAAGGGGAACATAGTAACGTTTAAGTTTCCAACAGACTGGATTGTGAACATAAATGAAGAGAAGTACATTGGCATAACATCTATGTATATAACACATGCTTTCAGAAAGGTTGACTTTATACTTCAAGTCGAGATAGAAAATGACGAACAGTCTTTAAGCGCCCAAAACATTCACATATACAAATACTTTAAAGACGATACAACATTGTTGCAATGTATGATTTCATTTAATGAAATGTTCGAGAAAAAGTTCAACATTGAAGTACAAACTTTACAGCCTTTACGTGAGTTTCTTGCACAACTGAAAGAAGAAGGTAGTCAGCCACAACTTATAGACTTTCATTATGAATTTAATGAAAATGAAGATGGAACTCATGACTGTCAATTCATTGTATTCTCACCATTCAATGAAGTCGCTAAAGAGAAAGAAAATCCATTACGTATAAGATTTCAAATCTCTGAACCAAATGATGATTTCAAAAAGGTTTTCAATTATGATGCAATGCTTCCGAGGAAAAATGAATTTTCAAAGATTGTAACACCTGGCATTTGGGATAGAAAGCAAGCTATATTATATTCAAACTTAAGTAAGGGAGTTGAAAATGAGTTCATTGGTCATACAAGAACTTCACCACTTCCTAACCCTAAATACTATAAATTAACTGGTTTCAATCGTGAGTTTTGGATAGACATGTTCTCCACTCATGATCATAAAGCCCCTGTTTTGCTACCTCCAGACCATAAGGACTGTCTTTACATCGAAGCACAACTCTTAAATTCTACAATAGCTGTATTGTAAATGACCTCATGGGCTTCACCCTTGCCGCTAGCGACTTATTTTTATCACGAATGACCTCATTGCTGACAAAAATAAATGACCTCAGAACTTCAACTTACAAATAAAGCTTGTTTTAGTCGTTATTGAGAAGTTAAACTTTTCAGCAAAGCAAGGTTGACATGACTTACATAAGTCAAATCCAATCTCTTGACCGTCATAAAGTGCTTTGTAAAGTTTCATTAAACTGAACTCAGAGTCTTTGTCATATGTTCCAACAGGTATGTGAATGTTCTTATCTTCATTGTAATAGCATTGTATAGCTTCAGGAAACATTTCATTTGCTGTTAAAGCAAGGATGTCTTGTTTGACACCTTTGCAACGTGCATGGAATGCAACTTCATTTAAATCGTTAGTGAGTAAGTCTATGTAGGTCTTCTTTCCACAAAATATTGACTTGTATGCTAAACTTTGTTTTCCAGGTGTTATTTCTGCGAAGTCAGAATGAAATTGACCTAATGTTTTACCAATAAGTTCGCGACCGTATCTCTTCTTAAACTCTGCTGCAAGCTTTGGTATGTCTTCATTGAAAATATGCATGCTGTCACAGTCCTGGTAAAAGATTTGAAGTCCCATGTCCTCAGCAGTACAGAATACTTCATTCATAATACGTTTTGACATTGAGAGAATATTTACACCAAGTGGGCAAAAGTTAAAGTGTCTGCAAATGCTTTTCGTTAGCTTGAAAATAGTTTTATCTGAACCATCCAAACCTTCGAACTTCACTATATGGTTGTAGTTTCTGATGGCATATCTTATAGCATCTTTGTCATCTACTATGGTTATTTTTGACTCAATAGGAGATAGAATGGTTTTGCCATAAATGCTGTTCAGAATGAGTTTTATAATTTCTTGTAATGGGTTTTCTTCTTTCTTATACTTTAACCTTAACTCAAACAATTTCTTTACTTCATCTCTTATTCTCATATCTCTGTTTCCATCGTAATAGTATCCTTGTAACACTTCACATTTGACACCTTGATATTTTATAAGGTCTTGTAATGTTATATGGTCAACATACATTAAACAGCAAGAGTTTGAACTTCTGGGAACGTTAAGTTCTGGATTTAGTTCAGGGTCACAAACTATTAAAGGAAAGTGTCTATGTATGCCAATCTCTGTTATCTTAATGAGAACAAAGAAGCCTGACATAAACTTTTCACCAATGGGTTCCTTTTGGTCGTCATCGAATAAATGTCTCATGAGATACTCTGTGCTTAACATCTCATCCTTCAATACTTTTGGAATTCCTTCTAAAGTATAAAGTCTTGCTATAGCGGATGGATATAATGAAACAGCGTCGAAGTCAGCAATGAGTTTCTTTTTGCTCTTTTGTTTAATGTTATCTGACAACATACATCTTCCACCTTGAATGCATCTCGAAATAAATTCTCTTGGTTTATTTGAGAGGTCATAAAGATTTCCATTCGGGAAATATACTCTGTTCTCAAACAATTTGTTAGCAATAGAACAAATAC